TTCTTAACTTCAGAAATAAACATTGTACAGCGGAAACTAAGATGGTGTTTACTCTGATGAATTATACAATCCACTCTCATAATCCAGCTCCTATTGACGTTCCTCTGGAAAACGAGCACCTGGAGATAACAATAGAGCTGAGCACAGTAACTATGGAAAGTGAAAGAGTAGAGCGCACATGTCACACAGTCATGGTAAATGCATCGGGAAGCAGGAACCCAGGCTGTGAAAACAGTCACAGTTTCCACCAAATCCAGGTTCTCAGACTTTTACTGGTCCATGTGTCTGGGTGTGGTGCCATCCAGCTGCTCGAGCTTTCTTCGTCACCGACTGGGAAGCTAGCTGCCTTTGCGACCATTCACATAGTACAGTAGGGGAAGTGGGTCCAATAAAACATGTCCAAATAGGAGAGCAACAAAGTCTTTCTTTTTTTTTATGTTCAGCCGTAAGAGATCTCACATCTTAAAAATATCTCACATCTCACTCTTGCAAATGTAGGCGGGTCACCGTGGAATAAAAGTGGCTTACCAAAAAAATGTTAATTGTTGCATGGTATTCCTGTAGAAATGGCCCCCGCAGCTCTGTCAGAGCTAATCTAGGAGGACAGGAAGGATGTATACGTCTGAAAGTAAAGGTTCAGACGACATAATTTTCATCTGAGTTTTAAGGGGAAAAAAAAACGGATCGACTTGTGTTTCAGAAGTGGGACAGCAGCAGTCTATTCTGACCAGATCTGTTGGCATCTGGGCCAGAATACCAGGCCTCCGGTCTTGTCAAACCTTATAATTTTATGCATCAGTGTATTTCCTTGCATGGTTGCGACTGTTTGGGAGCAGACAGGGAATGTGTTTCCTGGAGAGGAAACTGACGGCTGGCAGGAAGTGCTGACCGATAACTGAAGCACCAGAACCTATTTGTTGTCACATGTTCTGGAATCTGAAGCGTAAGGTAAAGGAAGCTGAACCTTTGGTGCTTCTTCGACCCACTTTGATTGGATTTAGTGAATTATGTGTTGGCCTATAAATAGAAAGGAGGATATCCTCTTTGTTGTGAGAAATTATTTTTGCTTTCGGTGCTTAAAGTTCGAACTGAACTTGGAAAGAAATCTTTTCAGTTTTCTGCTCCATCTTCTTGGAATCAGTTGCAGAAATACATAAACTTAAAGGATCTGTTGTCACTAAATGTTTCTAAGGCTGTTCTTACTGATTTTGAGAATGAATCATCTGTCTGTAAATGTTTCCACAGAGGAATCCTTTAATCGATTTATGACAGTGTTAACGTTTTCTGTTTTTGCTGTGAATGTTCTGTAATCTCTGCGCCGCTGCCGGTCTTGGTCAGGGTTCTTTCGCAAGAGATTTTGAATCTCAACAGGGTTTTCTTGGTGAAATAAATGTTAAATAAAAATAAAGTGGATATATGACAAAAAACACAAACACTAATTTTGTGAAGATAGTTTCCATTCAACACCAAAAATGTGTGTATTTTCTCCAGTCGCAGGCCTAAACCTTTCAGAGCAGAAAACCTTCCATCATCGTTAGCATAATCTCAACAAGTTAAAGGAGCAAAACAAAATGGACTTAGGTGGCTAGACAATATACATTTTAGTTCCAGTTTCCTAGTAATATCCAATATAACACAAAGTGCAGTGTAAAGTTTGACTGTTTTATTTATTCATGATAATCTGCTCATTAGAAGTCCTTTCAAATATTTTCTGGTTGTAATTAAGTATTTTAAATTTAAACCAAATAAGAACCTTGAAGATCAACAGATGTTTTTTCTTTAAGAAGAACAGTGTTTAGGTTTCCTAAGTACAGTGTGGTAGGCTTTGGTTCTGAACACAAAGAACTTCATATCAAACCCAACCGAATCCTGAGCAACATGAGAAACACACGACTTTTATAGTGAGGAAGAAAAGACTAAATGATGCAGGAGAGATAATTACAAATCAAGGGCAGGTGGGGCAGAACAAGACTGAGTCTACAAATAAAATAAAGTGGCAGCAACGACTGAAAACGAAAGACGTTTAAACTCAACCGGAGCACAACTGAAGCCGACATCAAACCAAAAAATAAAAACAGCAAATTAAACCAAATCTGAGTAACCCAGACTCTCATAAATGAAAACGTCCTGCCTGGAGACCAGAACTGAGCTCAGACCTGACCCATTTTCAGAGCTAATTCAGCAGACTGCTTTGCAAAATATTTATTTACATTTCCTAAAATTGCTTAGTGTGAGGCAGGGAGGTTTTGGAGAGCCGCATGAGTATGTAATGTATTCCTTGGACCAAATCTTTTCTTGTAATTTGTAGTTATGAAGTTGAATATTTTTCTTGGAGAAAACCTTTTTTATGTCTCAGATGCAGATAAGTATTTATGGACAGGTTTTAATGAGTCACAGCAGATTTTACTTTTTAAATAAACACCACTGCAGCAGACCAAAGAGAGTTTCTGAAATTTAAATCAAGTCGCTTAGAGTTTTTTTTTTTGTTTTTTTTGTTTGAATACTTGCTAACACTGAAGTGCTAAGCGTAACATCAGAATAATGCTTGGTACCAGAACCCAACATCATCATGAGTCCCAGAAAACTGGAAAAAATCCCAGTTTATAATCTTCATTTCTGACATCTGACCTGCAGAGTTTTCCAGTAACAACATAAAGTCAGATTGTTTTTTTAGGGGTTTTCTTCCATAGTTACTTCAATTCAAATTCAAAAATACAAATACAACTGAGCTTAGAAACGCTTTAATTTAAAATCATCTACTGTCGTTTTCAATGCAACATTTCCCTAAATCAGCCACATAAGCATGTGAAAATAAATAACATGAAATGTTATCTTTGTTCATAACATCTGGATTCTAAGAAATCAGGATTCAAGATCTTCTTTATGCTTAAGTTAAAGGGAATGTTCAGGTTTTTTGCAATTTATCCTGTTGGAATGTTTTAACATGTTCCTGCACAAAATATGAACCGTTTCAGAGCAGAGAACAGTAATGCAAATATAAATGTTTTGATGCACTTGTTTATTCCAAATCAGTGTAATAAATTATAACCAGAAGGAGCTTTTTACCTCAGCCTGACCTTCTTTAACATTAATTTACTTTTTTTTTTTAACAAAGTTAAAATAATTTTCAAGACTCGTGTCCTTAGGTTTCTCATTACCTGCCAAGAGGAATGGAGTCCAGGCCCACAGAGGGAACAACGCAGAGTTCAAAACCTGCAGTAATGAGATGTTTTCACCTCCAAACCTGCATCATATTTCATGTCAACAAAGACGGAAGAGCTGCCAATTCCACGGCTGAAGAATGCGAAGCAGAGGTTGTTTCTCAACAAAAGAACAAAAACAAATCTTTCGATCTGAAATCATCAAAAAATAGAGAAAAACAGATTTATTAATATTCCTGTCCCTTTAGAAACATCATCTCTGCTCCTGAGGAGCTGGGAGCTGAGCGAGTTGAATCGGACGCTGTGAATTAATCAGTCATTTATTCTGGAATTGAAGCCATTCTTTGGTTTCACTTGCTGATTAGTCACAGCTTCAGCCTGGATTTGGTGCCCTGCACATGGAATTGGAAACAGCTTTTTAACCTCTCGACCTCTGATAAAGAATATCTGACTGACGGATATTCTTTACACGGAGCAGTAATCTCAGTGGAGATTACTGCTCCGTGTTTTATTCTCTTCTTCTGGGTTCATCCACCGTTTCTTTCTGATAAACCCTAAAGAGTTGTGCAAAATATATTATTTGCACTGGGACCTTTTTTACATTTTTTATTCAAATTGGCAGATTTCTCTTCACAAAATCCTATGTCTACCGATACCGATGCATCTTAAAACTCTAAAGCAGAGCTATGTTACAACAGAACGATATGTTCTGTCTCAGTTTGATTCTCTTAAAATTATGTTTTTTGGAATGCACTGCTGTTCAAAGGTCATGTCTTTAGATCGAACTGCACTGGAGCCAGACTTTTTCTTAAATAAATCAGAAAAAATGCACCAGAAATGTTTAGACATTTTTGATCTTCGGTTTTATAAAGCTCTGACCTACACATACACAACAAAATACTTTCTTTATTCCAGATAATGAATTTAACTGTAAATTTAACAATAAAAATAGTTAATTAAAGCACTAAATTTTCTTTAATTTTTCTTGGTAATGCCAGTGCTATGTCCCACTACGTAACTGAAAAATGACAAATTTGTCCACACAGAAAAATGCAAAAAATTCACCACATCAAAAGATGTTGTTTTGTACTCCATAAGATCAATAAAATCGTTTTATTAAGCTTCCTTGAGCAAGTTAGGTTAGTTCATAACATTTTTTGCACAAAATCAGATAATGAGATTTTATTCTGCTCAGTTCAGAATGAGCCGTTTTACGGCGTCTTATCTCTTTAAATCTAAATAAGCTGCTGCTGGCCACGCCCCTTAACGCAACGTTTACACTCGTGGAAATGGCTGCAAACAGATGCACAATTATACAACCGTACATCTTTGAAAAGCAGAAGTGGAGCCTCCTGCACAACCAACAAGAATTCAGCAAGTGGCTTCTGGATGTTAAGTTAACAACAAAGCACTTGTCTTTTCCAGCAGCCATTGTACAGCACATGCAGCGGAAAAACCAGCTGACCAATTATATGCTGGGAGTCAGCTTGAGTTGCTAGGTAACGGTGCAGTGGGACTGAGTAATCAGGAAGTTTTTGAAACAGCTCATTTTCCAGACACCAAAAACTTTAACCTCTTGCCAAATACTGTCTGGGTGGATTTAAGAGCTTGGGTTGTTTTTAGAAGCATTTGATTACTAAAAGGAAGCATAAAAACATGCAAAATATACTTTTTGTATAATAGGTCCTTCATAAGTATCCACTATGCAATTCACTACTGTGATGGTCAGTTAGGAGAAGAAGATTACTGATGAGATCTTCATAACCAGCTGGCAGCCATGTTTTTCTTCATTTAAAACCTTCCTGAAAGACTCGGTTGTCTTCCCCGTTTCCTTCACAGCTACTACAACTGGAAGACACAGACGTCCACCTCCAACTCCAGCCCCAACTTTGAGGTGATTTATGACGACCCAAACGGACTTCTCTTCAAGAGCAAGAGGGACAAAACGATGCTGAATCCTCGGGTAAGAATTGTGTCTCTGCTGCTTTGCTTCTGGGGCTCAGGCCCCCGTAATCAGACCAGCCACCTGCTGCATGGCTGTTAAAATGTTTCTGGGAAGTAAAAGTTCTTATCAGATCCAGTTTGCTTCCAGGCACACTTTGTCTTTAAAGCCAGTGTTCTATCAAACAGAGCATGTTACAGTGACGGCCCTATGTTATCTCACTGGCCCCTAAGTTTTAGGCACTGAAGCTTTTTAACAAGCTGCAGATATCAGTTGGAGAAGCTGAGAGCGATGAAGGAATCATATTTGCTTTCCACCTGCACACAGAGCGAAGGGTCAAGAGGTCGAGGCAGGTGCTTCCTCCACGCTCTCCTTCAGGCGGAGGCCTCTGCAGAATAACGGCCCACTGGGACGGCTCTTATTTTCCCTCCTGCCTCCCTCTTTGCTGGGGGGTAGGGAAGCAGTTGGTGGGGCCGAACTATTTTGAAATTGCAGACAGAGCTGTGGGGACTGCGTTTTTGAGGCCAAAATGGCAGCACAGTGTTCTAGCTGCGGTCGAGCCCCGCCCCGACCAGCCGTCTATTAAAAACACAAGCGATGGAAGGCGCAGGAAGCCAGGGACATCAAACCACCCGCGTGTCCAGAAACGCAGCGCGGCTCAGCCCTGAAGCGTCCAGATTTTAACCCTCCGTCTGCAGCTTCGTCTTCACATTTCACACTGCAAAAACACTAAACCTAGACGAGCTCTTTTGGTCTAGTTTCTGGTGCAAATATCTTGGTGCAGTTAAAATAAGACAAAATTAACTTACAAGCAACTTTTCAGTAAGATATAGGAGCTTGTTTTAAGTAATTAATTCCTTCATATTGATAGAGGCGCATTAGTTCCACAGGCAGATTATTTCACTTAAAACAACATTTTTCCCAAGAGTGAAATAATTTCCCATGGGATTAGTAGTTTTCATCAAAATCTTTTGTGCTTTTACATCTTACAGAATATATACTCATAAGTTAGCATTGTCTAACATACTAGGACACTTTAACTAGAAACAAGACAAAAATAATTGGTGACATTTTGTGTTTTTGAAGTGCAGGCTAAATCCGACCCGCTTTGCTTTTCTGCTTTTGCTAAACCGTGACCGCTTGCTCTGCTGCGGCCAGAAATGTGGGTTTGATGGTGAAGGGCTTCTCTTATCTCTGTGGTTCATTTGGTTTGACTGGAAAAAGGAGCTGACAGAAAAGTTTTCCTTCGATGATGTGAGCATTAGTGAAACATTTTGGTTTCCCGATCATGTGGAGGTCTGCCGTTTACCAGAGTTTCCGACTCCGGTGATGAAGTCATTTTTAGCCGTCTGTTTCGCCTTTGAACTCGCCTCAGTCATTACGACACCCACAGGAGTGTTTGAGGTAAACGTGTAAATTGGGTGTGATGGTTGACCAATGAATGAGTCCCATGACACAGATGGTCTGAGAGGAAACGCTTCCAGCTGCTTGTGGTTCCACATGGATGGACAGACAGACGGACACATGGATCCCTGCTTATAAAAACCTGAGCTGGTTTTAGGTCAAGACTTTGACTAGGCCATTTTAACACACGGATATGCTTTGATGCAAACCCTTCATAATGGACCTCCTCCTTCCGTTCTTGCAGCTGTGTTTGCCCTAAAAGGCAGTTCTCAGAGCTCTGAGATCCAGGAATTAAATACACAAAGCAGCCTTAGCTTTGATACAGTCACCAATAAAGTTATACTAAAAACCTCATTAAACCCAAACCAAACGCTTTCTCTTTCAGAGATGGTTTTTGGATCAAATCAAAGAAGGGTTTACGCCTCCCGAGTGACTCCGCTGTACTTTCAGCATCTTTTATGTTACGTTCGTCTCTGCTTTCTCCATTGGTGACTGTATGATGTTTTTATTACCTTTTATTTTTGTGTTTTTATGATGTAAAGCACTTTGAACTGCGTTGTTGCTGAAATGTGCCATACAAATAAACTTGATTATTTGTGATTACATGTGTTTTACATGTGTTTCTGTAAATCTTGGTTGATTTACAGAAATTGTCTAAATAAGAACATCCTCCAAGCTCATAAAACTCACTGATCTGCTTTGTCCAAATGAAGCCGTGTTGTCTGGTTTCAGTCCAGGTCCAGTGGGACGCTCCTCCAGTCGGACCTCTACGTCCACGTCATGCTGTACGACCGCAGTGTGAGAATGTTCTGACCTGCTGACGCCGACACAGCCGTACAATCTGGCGCTCAGCGCAGAGCTCTGAAAGCCTCTAATTTAGCTGCAGCTGCATCATCATTTACAAACTCTTTCCCTCATATCGTGCATGCCATCAGGGTGGAGGTGCCGCTGCGACAACTTCAAACAGACGATTCCCAGAGGAAGAAATGGACAGACTGGGGTGACAGCCGGAGAGTTTCCTCAAGCTTAAACTGGAACTTAGATATTCTGATGGGTGCAAAGTCTTATTTAGGAGCCAGACTCAGCTCCTCAACCCCAGGCTCGTCCACTGTTGGGGCCAACATGTTTTGGGCTGTTTGTCTAAACAAATTAAAGGCATAAGAGCTTTGAAAGATGACGGGGGCAGCTCTTATGTCCTCCCCCAGGCTGCGGTAGCTCCAATTGGACTGGAAGAGTGGGTAATGGGCTTAAAGCATTCCTCGTATTCCCAGATGGAGGGACGCTACGCCGGACATCAAAGCTCTCCATCACTCCCATATTAGTCATTGACTGACAGATTTTAATGCACCATAACTCTACAAATAACCCCGTTTGGAAATGTGTTTGAAACTTGAAGAATTTTAATTTTTGCCATTCATACTGAAACAGATGGAGGGAATCACACCAGTAATATTATCTCTGGCCACAAGATGATAACTTATAACAGGGTTTTTATGATTTCTTCTTTCATGTATTGTTTTCCAAACTGGTCCCTTGCTTTCTTTTTGTGTTTATTTGAGAATACTTTAAGGGAATAAAAGCTTCACAATCAAACCCATAATGATTTTTTTTATCTAATAAAAACCCAAAAATTATATAAGGGTGTGCATTTTAATCCCCCAAGACAAAATCTAATGCATTTCCTTCAGAATTCACATGATCATCAAACCTAGCTCACCTGTTCATAGTTCAGTCTCTGCGTATCTGCAGCCGTCCTGTGAAGTTGCTCACTCCACAAAGCTGCTGAAGACATAACCTAAAAGTCTTGCACCCGTAACTTAAACACAAAATATTGGCTCAGAGGCTTTGAATACCTCAGTTTTTAATGGTGAATTTATGTTCATGCCATCTGCAAGTCAAAGTAGCTCGGAAATATGAGCTACTCTGTGTTGGTCAGTCACAATCTTAATAAAATACATAGACGTTTGGGGTTATAAGCTTTTAAAATGTGAAGGTTTGGGAGACTCTGAAAGTTGAAAGATACCATTTTCTGTAATGACATGAGGAAAATAATTCTTTTGAAGGTGTTTAATTTTCCTTTGGGCTCAGCAAAGTCTTTTTGAAATTGTTTTATTATGTTTCCAGTCCCTGTTTCTGTACATGTTTAACTTTTAGGATGGACAATGATTAAAACATCAACAATTAACAGATGAATTACGAAAATTACTTCTAAAGTTTTTAGTTTGCAAAGCCATTTTTCTCAGCAGTATAACATGTTTAAGGTAAGTTTCCCCCTTCTTAAAATCACACCCCTGGGAAACAGCGTCTGCTGTTGCTCACATGAACTCACCTCTGCAGGTTCCCCTGGAGGCGTTCTCGAGAAATCTAGTCCATCAAAGCAATCCCAGTCTCACACTTTTACCTGAGCGCATACATTTGTGCTTTTATTACGAGAACTCACCCACTGCCTTGAAAAGTATCAAAATTGCTCTAACCAATTCTGAAAGATGCTGCCTCAAAAACAAATGTTTATCAGTTTTTGTTTTTTAAATAAAATATACACTTCACCATGATGTCATCTTTTTGTTGACACAGTCTTTACAAACATTTAAACTTAAGTAATTGGGAGAGAGAGAAAAACTCAGTGTTAGGTGTCTGAATAGGGAGACTTTATAGAGTTCATTTCTGCAGACTTTAGAGTGAGTTGTCTATTAGCAAAATTAAAAAGCCAGATATGAATCAAAGCAATAGCTTCTGCAAAACCTGATTACCTGCTGAGGAGGAAATTCAACCATTTGATTCAGGTGTGTTGGAGCAGAGACGCATTTAAAGGGCTAGAGTTAGACACTGCACCACTTAGCAGTTAAGTGCCAGCAAACGGGTGAATTCATTCTGCTCAATAAAACACAGAACCAAGCATCTTACCTTGTAATTTGTTCGGTTCATGAGTCCAGCTGTGGCTCCACTTCTCATCATCCAGCTTTTTTTATTCTACCAAGATCACAGACTGCTCTCTCTCAACTTGGTCTCAGAATCCCGGACGAGCCCCCAAAAACAGAACACTAAACAAAAAAGGAAGACACAATAGGGTTAATTTAGAATGTTCATCTCAAAAACTAAGTTCATGCAGTGGGGCAGTAGTCCTTCTGTTACAGTCTGACTCACCTGCAGGCTTCAGTGCAGGTGTGGACTCAAAAGACTTAGAACCTTACAGTTTTCTATGAGGTTCTAGGATCCACTACTGGGTTTTCTTCCCCCATTGACAAATACACCTGCATTTGTTAATAAACTTACTCTAAGTTCAGAACAGAAACAAATGAAGAATCCTAGACAACTCCCTAAAAAATGTTTTGGGCCTAAACAGTGAAAGCTAACTTGGTTGATTATTGAATGTTTAGTGTTTATTAGAACTTAAAGCTGCACAGCAATCCTGTTGCCATGACCCGAAGCATCTGCCTTTGTGTCAAAGGAAAAAAAGTCCCATTACCTTCTGCTCAACAAAACACAGAAAACATGTCAAATGAAAATAAAAATTGTTTTTCTAAAAGTTTCCGAAATGTTTTGATGCTACGATCAATAAAAACATTTATATTTCCTTCATAGAAAACCTCCTATGAGAGGAAGCTGCTCTCCCTTTTCAGCCAGTTTATTTGGGAAATAATTATTCGGAAACCTCCAAAATAGCTTCTAGTTGTGTAGTAAAGACAGATATTCAGCAGGTTGTCTTGTTTTCATAAAACAAACAAGAAAAATCTGGGCTGTGGGGTTTCTTTCAGCCCTTTTGCATGTTTAAATCTTTTCATCAAAATAAGATCCTGAACTGCTGATATAACAGCTGCTCATACCCCTTATGTATATTGTTAACCAGACCAGTGATTCCTATTGGCCTGAAAGTCACAAGATGATTTAAATCTGACAAACATGAATCTGCCTCAGTTGACTCAGCGCCAGAGGAGCCCTTCATCCATCGGTCTGTCCGTTTTAACCAAACCGGTCCCTGTTGGTCTCCCTGAAACAATGTGTTTGGTGACCTGAGGCTTTTGGGTTTTGGGGAATGACAGTCTGGTTTTGGGTCATCTCAGTCAGTGTGATTCTTTATGTCTGTGTGTGTGTGTGTGTGTGTGTGTTTCAACACCATGGTAGATCTGGGCCTGTGATAAATGAACACTGGTGAGCAGAAAGAATTATAAAAGGCAACATGAGGGTGGCTTTTTATTTACTTTTCTTTTAGCTTCTCCAAATATGGTTTTGTAGTTTACATCATTGAATATAAAGTGGATTCTTCTATTGTAGCAGAAAAAACATGGATTAAAATGAAGCTTTAAATGCCACTGGATGTTCCTATAAACAAACATACTACTACAGAAATGATATTTTATATATGTTACCATTAAAGGGAATGCCATGAATTCATCAATTTTGTGTGCACAACAAATTCACAGTAAAATTGGGTTAAATGGCTTTCATCCCCCTCAAATTCTTTTATTGGGCTTTTAAACTGCTGGGGTTTTAACTAAGCCTTGCTTTTATTAGTTTGGGGCTTGACTTCCCTCTAATACACCCAACATGAAGTAACGACGTGGTTTCACAGTAAATTGACCATTAAATAGCATGAAAATAAATTTTGACCGGATTTGACAGCTTTTTTCTTCATGCGCTTTGAAATTACTGCAAAAAAAACCCCCAATGACGACAAACCCAGTAATGACTTTAAATGTTACTCTAATTACAATCTCAGGGTTGAGCCTTTCAACATCACACAGTTTGCATAAATAGGCACCACATCGTTAAACTTCAAGCATTATCTGCTCACATTTCCTTTTGATTGGGTTTGTTTGATTTGACCATGTCACGGTTTATGTTCTGGGTAACTTTACCTCCTCGTTACTCCGTTCCTTTCTTTAGCATTTATTCTTCCTCCTCAAATGCTGGTCTTGATGGACATCTTTAATCAGAGGAACTCCAGTGGATTGGCAACCTGTCCAGGGCCAGTAGAAAGTTTTTTAATTAGTGTTTCACCTAAATTTTTCTAATTTGAAAAGAACCCCTTCATAAAGATGCATCTTTTCCAGAGTCTTTAATTCAGAAATGTTTAAATAAAGTCATGTGATGCTCACGAGACAAAACACACAAACATTCCTTGACTTCTAGTTTGAAACATCAAAATAAAATAAAGCTTTGCCAAGTTAAAGTTGAGATTATTTTCATACCATTTAATTGAATTCTCTAAGTTAATTCAGTTATACAGAGGCAACAAATGATGAAGTTTGAAATCTTTGTTGTAATTCTCTGCAATAAAAACCTGGAAAATGAGGTGAGGAAACACCTCATTTCCCTGGTTGGAAGAGATTCTCTCTTCCCAGCTTTTGATGCTATGTGATATATAAACACTAATTCTCATGGTTAATATTTGGTTAATTTACTCTGTGCTGAAATTAGTTTATATTAAGCTTTAATTTCTGAGTATTTTGTCATTTCTTCCTATGAGTGTCCACATCAACAAATGCAATTTTTTTTCTTCTTTTCTCTAATAAATGAAAAAAAAATTCTTAAAAATTTCATGTCCTGCATCGTGTTTTTCCATAAACTTATACTCATGTTTATCTGTGTTTTTTTGACTTATATATATATATATATATAT